GCCAGTAGTTATACATGTATTTAGATTTTACTATACATTTTTAGAAAAATCTATGCATTTAAAATTAAGCGGCTTTGCCGCAGATAAAAAAATCAGTTTTAAGGTTATACCGAAGAGTTAATTTAGCCTTGGGTTAAGGCTATAATGACTCTTGAAGTAAGCGGGTTGCGATCCGCTAAACTCGTACTTGCTCCGAGTATAGAACGAGAGCCCCGCAGCAGTTGAGGTAAGGTAAAAGCCGAACCGCCTTAAAGTGGTGGCGGATGCGCTTTCGTGATGCCCCGACAATGAGTTGTCGCTCGTTGCAATGGTGACGTAACTGCTTGTTGGCGATACGTTCAACGTACGGGTTGGATGCAACATGAGTTGTGCTGCCGAAAGCTTTGAAAAACAACGGGTTTGAGAACTCAGATATCGCTTTATCGAAAAGCGTTTTTAAGCCCGCCTGCACCGCTCTGCCCTATACTATGGATTGCTATATATTTGTACTGACCCGCATTACACTCAGCATGTACTGCAAGATGCGCATGATCCCCCTTTGGGGGCCACTTTGGGTCAGAAGGACGAACTGATTGGCGAGTGCTACGTATTTGTGGCCCAAGATGTATAGGTGTAGAAGCACATATATGTGCACCGTGAAGCGTGTTAACGGGTCAAGCCTTCACCGCATGCGGTGGCGATGTTGACCAGCGTGCCCGTTCTGGCAGAGTGCAGGCAGTCCATCAACATGGACTCTACTTTTTGACGCGACTGGTAATACCGGTATTGTGGTTTGTTTGAAGCGTCTGAGCACGATGGCTCATCTCGCTGCTATGTGACTGGTGTGGCTACAGCCATGCTCTTCCTCGACAAAGTCTTGACTTGCAGGTAATTGCTGTATCGGATAAAGATCTGCGCTTCACAGCAAAATTCTGGGAAACATAGTCTAAGGTACTCGGTCCAATAGTGAGATGTCAGCCGCCGACTTTCCGCAACAGATGGTGAGGCGGACGCGTGAAAAGGGTCGTAAAGGATATCCCTGATGCCTTGCAGAGGTACCGCGGTGCTATAGCTAGTTGCCCCATCAAAATAGTCTTGCTGGTACCAGCCCAGCTTCGTAGCAAGTCATCGATTTCACCTTAGCGGTTGAGCGTCATACGTAGGGTGCGCGACACTAAGGCTGGAGCCACGATAAACAGAAGTGACATGCCGATGCCAACGGCAGGTAAAACGCACACAAGTATGTTGTAGGGCATAATTTTTTTGGCGAAAGCGATTAGACTACCTACACATGCAGTGTCTGCGGTCTATAAGACCAATTTGCGACCGCGCTACATCGGACCGTTCATAGTCGTACCGAAATAGAGATTGCGATACACTATGCAAATCTCGAAGTAAATGCGGTAACTCGTGACCCAATGTGGGCTTACTGAGGCCATAGAATAATCTCTCTTATGCGTTAGTCGAACATGGCGGGCTCGGTGCACGGTGCTTGGTTGCCGAGGGCCTCTGTTGCAGACGAAACAACACCTCCACCGTTACCATCCCCTGTAGCCAAACAACCTTTTTCACCAATGCAGCGACGCGGTTCTGAACCACTGAGGCTTCTTCAAGCCGAGCAGTACGATGACAAAGCTAAAGACGATCCCAATATCAGTCTTATCTAAGCTGCGGTCTCACATCGTGACTCTCGGAGGAATGTCGACGTGCCTCCACACTCACGAGGACTTACGAAAGCCAGCCGTGGAGGGCGAGTCCACCGGCTTTACGAGATGACTCACTAGCACGTGAAACGCTTTTCTAGCCGAAGGAAATTATAAGAACCTGGTGAAGAGTGCCCTTAGTTTCAAACTCATGAAAGATTGAAGATTCACTTAGGCGAGATTGCCCTGGTGCCGTTGTAGCTTACGTACTCTTGTATGAAAAGGCGGGTCCCACAAGATGGTGTGACCGTACATAGATATAAATTACACAAGTTGATGTAATCACACAGTAGTGTGACCGTACATAGATGTTGATTACACAAGTTGATGTAATCACACAGAGGTGTGACTACACCGTAACAAAAAGCCACTACGTGGCAGGATTGCCAGTAGTAATGCATATTACTATATTAATTAGGTCTATGGGGTTTGTATCCACGCAGACTGGCATGCCGAGCGGGTCTTAAGTCCACCCCCTTAGACCACTCGAACAAGACACCGATCAATATAAGACAAACCACGACTGCGATCTTTGCGTATTCTCATTCCTGCTTGCGCAACGACGCAACAATTTGTCAGCCTCGAACAACTTATTACTATATTAGTTTTAAGAACCAAAAGTTTTAGATTTTGCGGTTCTGCCGCAACTAAAACAATTTCAATTTTGACCTTGGCTAATGTTTTAAGTACTCTTGGAGGTAGCGGATTGCGATCCGCTGCACTCGTACTGAATTTTATAGCGAACGTGTGGTCAGTGACCTTAGCTTAGCTTTCTCTAAGCAAAAAGCTACGGAAGCCCCGCGGCATTACGCCTTGATACACCCTCCCTCGTTTAAGGGACAAATTCGCTTATCGTTGCTAAGTAGTAAGTGTGGTCCAGCCTTGTGGTAAGTATACCTTTTGGGTCGTTGCTGTAAAATATGTTCTATGGCGACGAGCGGGAATGTAAACAGCAGGAATTGGTAGTGACGAGTTTCCATCTCGACATCTGCGTCGTGTGTCGCAATTCGCAAATTCAGAATGCATTGACGCTCTGACCGGAGGTCTTCTCTGCTTAAGCTGGCTCACAAAGTCTTAAAACGGGTGGGACAGCGCGTTCTTCTTACCCAGTTTGCAAAGTGAGTAAGGGAATGGGTTCCGCAAGACGCTGCTGCTATACGCGCGGATAATACACCAGAAAAGTGATGACCCGTGGGTCAAGAAAGCGCGCACTGTGAGCTTATGACCCACATAAGTTGACGTGGAGACGATCCGCGCCAGCGTGGCGAGCGACTTCCAACGGTTCAAAATTGTAAGCAGGGCGTGATTTGGACGGAGTCGGCACGACCGTTGCGATGTTTTCAAGTCGAGATCTTCGAGCAAGGTCCAATTTGTTGGTGATGAGCTGGACATCGTCGTGGGTTTGTAAAGCGGGGTGTCGAAACACTTTTCGCTAATAGAAAAGGGCATGGAGTTTGATAATCGCTCCGCGGAAGGCGGAGCGTAGTGAGAGGCTTCCTTGGAGAGCAGCGAGGCCCTGTATTACCGAGGGAAGACGGAGGAATTCTGTCGCAACTTGGAGAAACACTGAAAATATTCTTATCGGAAATACATCGGCATTCTCACCAAAAAAGTCCTTTGGCGCACCAGCCACAAAACTCGCACTTTTGGCTAGGGCTTGCCGAGCATTTGTTTGGTGCTTTGAAGCGAACCCCCGGTATAAGTACGCTCAGATGTGCAGGAACGGTACAGTGCAGAGAGTAAAGTGGAGCTCTAGGCGCGGTAACTTTCGTGGTGTGACCAGTGTCCTAAGAATGTCCCTTAAGTGGGTGGTCGTGTAGCGGGATGTGTTGTGTAATCTTGTGTCCTTACACCTTCCACGTTTGGTACAATTGTATATATATCGAGCAAATTTTGGGTCACACTCGGTCTCAATGCGAATATTCTAAGTGCCGATATATCGGTGTTTATGAAGATGGAACTTTAAAAAAGGGGAGAATGTCGTACACGTGGGCACGTTGAGCGATATATACACTTTAATAATACGAGAGAGTATAACGTGCATATTCAGTATTACTTTAAGAGAAACATATGTCACTCTTGGAACAGTAAGCAAATAAGCACTATATTTACGTTAGAGGCTCTATGTCTGCTCCTTGTGGGAGCGCAATAACCCAAATTTGTTAGCTCAGATTCTGAGAGTCAAGGCTTTTTCTATGAAAAGTGCGCCGCAAACTCGCTGCGCTGGCAATTATGCACTCCACAACTCATCACAAGGTTGCAGCTTGAGCCTTGTATGATACAGCTTTTCACCCTTACTTATATCAAAATAGAGCGCAATTTCTATCGTTGTTCTGAGTCGGACCTGCTTAAGGGCAAGCTCTCACTGATGATGAACTTAAACGACAGAATCTTAAATAATCAAACCTTTTTGTTCTGGACCCCGCAATACTAGCGCCGTTATTGAACGTTATTAATTCAAAGATTGAGAGTTTTTCGATTATAAGCGACTTCATCTCAAAAGTAGGATTGATTTGAAAAGTATACATTACTTAACTTGGCAAATTCCTTGGTCGGACTTACAGCCCGACCACCAATTCTTTTTGCTGACTCGCTACACCCATACTGGTCGAAGCTATATCATCTGAACGGGTTATCACGCTATCTGGATTAGGAAGATGTTAGATACGAGATCAGATAATTTTCAGTTATTCAAAGTCTGTTCCTAATATACAGGAAACAACGTATATGGCTTGTGTCCAACACCTTTAAGACGTCAATCGTTTTCAAACCCTTAATGCAAGATAAGCTACTATCGAAATAATTGGTGGGTATCTGATAATTTTGGAAACTCGAGTTTTATTTTGTATATAACAATATTGCTAAGTTGTAGATTTGGAAGAAAAGTTGTGAAATTACATTCTTGACGCGCCTTCAATGAACTAAAGTGTGAAAATAGAACAATTGATAATTAATACAAGAATTAGCCCTTTGGCGATAAAACGGACAGCTGATCGAAGCATGTTAGACTTCGAGTTAATGCCTGTTGCAGCACAAAGTGAACTGCGACGTTGCAAGGACCAAAATAGTATACTTAGCACAGTAATTCATCCCATAGGCGTTGTGTGCAATATCTATAGTTGACCTAATCCAACGTGAGCCAGTCGTCTCTGTGGGAAGCGGCGTCCGTTACGCGCGCTTTTCGAACAAAACCGCCTTCTTAGCACATTGTAAAATTGCAATTATGGCCCTATGCTTTGAGCGCAAATTTGCGGTTTGTTTAAAAAAATTTATTTTTCACCTCTTCTCCCTAATAAGTCAAGCACAGTGACCACGAGCATGTCATCTGTCCTAGAAACTAAGCAGTTTCGAAAGTAAAAGTGTTTTACTCATAATATTTGTAAGTAAGAGCGCGGGAAAATAATGCTGTTTTGAAACGGCGCAGCTTAAATTTGACGTCAACGGTAATATTTCAAGCGTTTAAACTCGGCAGCCCGCAACTCGTTACTCCTTCATTCGTCAAAAGTCTATTTTCTCCTCAAAGCCCGCGCAGCCATTTAAGAGCCGCTGCAAGAAGCCCGAACAGACGACATACAGCAGCAGGTACGAGACACTCTAGTAGAGCTATAAGCGCCCCCCTTCTCTCGCTTACACCTCGAGTTTAGCTCCCACCCTCTCCGGGGTGTTGGCAATTTTGGGGAAAGGTTGAAAGGGCGCTATGCGATCTTTACAGCTTTGAGTAATGGCTGACCTTGTTTCTATTCAGATAACAACATGAGAGAGCTTGTTCATATCCAGGGAGGTCAGTGTGGAAACCAGATCGGCGCAAAGTTCTGGGAAGTTATCTCTGATGAGCACGGAGTGGATCCCACTGGTTCGTACCACGGCGATTCGGATCTTCAATTAGAGCGCATCAATGTGTACTATAATGAAGCTACGGGTGGACGTTACGTTCCACGCGCCATTTTGATGGACCTGGAGCCTGGCACAATGGACTCGGTCCGCGCCGGCCCATATGGTCAGCTTTTCCGCCCAGACAATTTTGTTTTTGGCCAGACAGGCGCCGGTAACAATTGGGCGAAAGGACATTATACCGAGGGTGCCGAGCTGATTGATTCCGTGCTAGACGTTGTCCGCAAGGAAGCAGAAAGTTGCGATTGTCTTCAAGGTTTTCAAATTACGCACTCACTTGGTGGTGGTACCGGCTCCGGAATGGGCACACTTCTTATTTCGAAAATTCGGGAAGAGTATCCCGACCGAATCATGTGCACCTACTCGGTGTGCCCATCGCCTAAGGTATCAGATACGGTAGTAGAGCCTTACAATGCCACATTGTCGGTGCACCAGCTAGTCGAGAACGCTGATGAAGTTATGTGCTTAGACAACGAAGCTTTGTACGACATTTGCTTTCGTACGTTAAAACTCACCACGCCTACTTACGGTGACTTGAATCACTTGGTGTGTGCTGCCATGTCTGGTATTACCACATGCTTGCGATTTCCTGGTCAGCTAAATTCAGACTTGCGGAAGTTGGCCGTCAATCTGATTCCATTTCCCCGTCTTCATTTTTTTATGATTGGTTTTGCACCTTTGACATCACGTGGCTCGCAGCAGTATCGTGCGTTGACAGTACCTGAGTTGACCCAGCAGCAGTTTGATGCTAAAAACATGATGTGCGCCGCTGACCCTCGCCACGGTCGCTATTTAACTGCCGCGTGTATGTTTCGAGGGCGCATGAGCACGAAGGAAGTTGATGAGCAGATGCTGAATGTGCAAAACAAAAATTCTTCTTATTTCGTCGAGTGGATTCCCAACAACATCAAGGCGAGTGTGTGTGACATCCCGCCTAAGGGTTTAAAAATGAGCACCACGTTTATTGGTAATTCGACTGCTATTCAGGAGATGTTTAAGCGAGTGTCAGAACAGTTCACGGCAATGTTCCGTCGTAAGGCTTTCTTGCATTGGTACACTGGTGAGGGAATGGACGAAATGGAGTTTACTGAGGCTGAGTCCAACATGAACGATTTAGTTTCTGAATACCAACAGTACCAAGATGCCACCGCTGAGGAAGAGGGCGAGTTTGATGAAGATGAAGAGATGGATGAGATGATGTAGACGCTATAGTAATTACGTCTTCTTGGTGCTCGCCTTTGTGAAACTCGCCAGTAGTTTAGCTATCTATCTACTTTGGGAGTTTAGTGCCCTGGCATTCACAGAACAGAAATACTAATTACGTTCATTAATTGCTGCAAATTTTTAAAGTTGACACATCAGTTCTTAAGAAAAAATAGACTTAATGTGCCACGTGTTTAAAATAACTATGACGCTTCCTATCTTTGTCGCTGAAAAAGGTTGAAGTTGCCATTTACAAAATCTATGTAAATGGAAGGTTGTTTCTCATTTTGAGTTCTGACACAGCGTCAAAGCGATTTCTATTAATTTAAAAAGGATGCGGGCCAAGGGCACAAGCATCGAAATGCGTCTGCCAAAGACAACAGTTAAGCCAGGTACCGCCTTTCGAAACGGTTGTGTGAGTGCTGATAATCTTTACAGTTCTAATCGCGACTCGCTGGGTTACGACGTACATCGTACGTTGTGTTACAAAAAGCTTTAATCGATGGTTTTTGGACATGATTACGTCTGTGGCAGGATCCTTGCGAGGCACTAGTTTGCGCGGCACCACCAAACGCTTTATTTGTAGTGTACGCTATTTAATTGTGCCTTACTTAGAAGTTTTGATATTGATTAACAATGTCGTTTGTTGTAGAAAGGTGCCACATCCGAACGAGTTGGTCCTGGCTCCTATGATATCATGAAGAAGCCGAAGGTACTACTATCAGACCCGCCGATTTGCCAGCGGAGCGTGAGTTAAATACTTTATTGATAATCAGAAACGTACCTCATGTGACTCTAGGATTTACCCCTTTCAGATCGACTTACGCAGTGGGGTTGCCAGGTTGACTCGCGATCGATAGATTGCGCGGGGGAATGGAAAAATACGTCCGGGATTCCTTCTGTCACAAAGCATTTGTTTCGCAAGGCACATGATTCAACATGGATTGAGCAAGTTGAGCAACGACATCGCAGAGAAAACCCATCGGCTTATAAAGGTATGGTTGTTTGCCCAAAGCGACAAATGCCAGATTATTTGCTGGGAGTTAGTGAGCCTGCGTATGTGAAAGCAGCAGCTTCTTCCATTCTCGCAACCCAACGATCATGTTGTGATTGATCTACCTTGGCTGCTGAAATAATCTTGTCAAGAATGCCTCTTGCATCATTTATCATTTCGTTTGATTGTAGTGGTACTGACAACTTGATTCGTTACAATACCCAAAGGGCATGAACACGTTGCAAAGTACAGCCGGACAATAACAATATGAGAACAGCACGATTTACTGTGATATTTGTCTTGTATATATACGAACTGATTTGATTGCTGCATCCATAATGATATTGGATAAATGCACGTGCTCAAATACCATAACTTGGACAAGCATTGAGGTTAAAGCACTTATGCTTCCTATATTTTTAGAAAGACTCTTTGTGCAGCCAACTCTTAGCGCTTCATTATAAGTATACATGCCTTCTACTTGGCAGGCAGGGAAGGTGGCCTTTTCGACGGGTTACGTCCTGGAATCTGCGTGTCAAAACACCATCAGTTATTCATTGAATATAAATGCAGCCAGTGAGCCGAATGAACTTGCTTATGATGTTTAACGTACTAGCATGTCGGGATTCTTGGGATCCTTGACCCATGTAACATTACTGACGTTGTTGCTTTCTTTAAAAAGAAGCAAAAATTCGCCCACGCGCTCCACCTTACCACCCCATAAATAAATGCGATTGCTCTTGAGTACAACTTGTGTGGCCATGAGTTGTAAGATATCACCAAGCCGCACGTGCTGCGCTGTCGTCTTTGGCAACACAAGGCTCACACAGCCCGAGTCGTCGCCCACTAACAGCGTGGCGTTATTGCTTATATTCCCCTCATCATTGGCGTTGCACTCTAGTACGATCACTTTAACATTGACCTCCTTGCCGCTCAGTATTGGGCTCAGTTCTTTCACGCGCAGCAGGCTCTGCGTCTTTTTTGGTTTGGTTGTCATCGATGTATTTCGCATTTCAAATAGTCACGCAAATCTCATGACCAATTTAGGTCAAGACCATAATATTTTAGTGCAACTAAACCAAAAAGTCCGCGCCAAATGGATCACTAAGGACCTTTTTACTCTTTTTCCGTGACATATATCTTGAATAAGGTTTATTATGATTAAATACTATATTAATGTCTTACTATGTTCCACTATGTTCGAAAAGCCTGACTTGGATGTACGACTACCTCAAAACTTAAACCAAAGAAATACACTGATTTGTTCAGAATTGAAATTGTATTTGTTTGTTTTAGTTGTGGCAAGGCCACCTACATCTAAAACTTAAACTTTCCTGATTAAATAGTAGAATCTGATTAATAAGCATTTTTACTGGCAGTCCTGCCATGTAGCGGCTTCTTGTTACGGTGTGATTACACCAACTTGTGTAATCCTCACCTCTGTAAGGTCACACCATCTTGTGTGACCGCCCATTCAAACGAGGTTACGTGTTACTCACTTATACTAACAGCACACGCGTCCAACGAACCCCTTCTTTACGGATTGTCTAGCTCTCCTCTGCACTAGTGCTTAGATAATCTGATTTGTGCACTACCGCATTTCTTACAGGAATTGTAGTGTGTACATATGTTCAAGCACACTAAACCTTCCACCACCAAGATATAAATCACGGTGAGGCTCAAACTTGTTTCGTCGTTTCAGGACACTGCTCAATGTGAGCGCCCACTGAGTACCCACTGCACTCCATATCGTGCGCATTACACTTTCTGCTCCAACCAATATCGAAAGTTCATCTCCTGTATGTACCATCATATAGGCCAACAAGGCTCTGAAAAAGTCGCAATCCTTGCGGCCAAAAATCGTAAGCCATTACTGGTGCAAAGGCCAGCCATAGCGACTCTCCGAGTCCTGACCCGACACCCAGATGCTCACGAAGATACAGACGGTAGAGCTGCTCAACGAGAGAGACGGTCTTAGCTCTCCACTTCCTCTTTGCACCAATTACGCACTCCGTATCCCTTCTTTATGGCGGAAAGTGTTTTAACATTTTGCCGCGAACCTCACGACGTACACATCTACGCCAATGATCTGACCTGGCTTAGCGAGCTCATTTTGCCCGTCTGCAAGCGCAAGAGTCGCAACGACCTTTGACGACTCGATCATATCATCAGAAGCTGCTTGCTACGCTGTGACGGAGCCCTTAACGTGCGTGCGGACACTACATCGAACGTCGTATAAGCTAGCAGTACGGCGTGATACAACTAACCAATAGGGAAGAAAATGTGCTTGTGTGCCAACAATTAATTGGCAAGCTGCGATAAATTATACATTGATGCCTCAGATGCGTACCGAGACGGCCATAACTTACTCCCGATCACGATTAGGTAAAGGAGCAGTTTGGCACACATAAAAAACTGCAGTCTTTTAGGTATGTGGTAGATCTTTCACGTATTTTTGCTCGGGGAGCTCGCAGAGGAGACATATATGGCTCATGCACAGAAAAGACTTACCCTTATATACATGTTGGGCCATCATTTCGTAGCGCTCGCTCGACTATTAGTATCTTTTTTCGTGGAGGCCACTCATGGGGTTATCTTGTGGTTCTTACACAACCCTGGACTCGAGGTCCTCATCACGAAGTACAATGGTGTCAGTGTGTACGTTTCATAATAAAAAATTGCTAGGGATTAGAAGTAGCTGTGCGAACGTTAGCGCTTTAACAAAGCGGCATCTGAGTTCCATAAGCTTCTTGTTTTCCAAAGCCTGTTATCAACGTAACAAATGTCACGTTTAGCCCGTATTCTTTACATTCCGCCTCATTGATCGAAGTCATCACACTCTATACTCATAATCGGGGCAACTCGGGAGCGTACTGCATAACAAGTAGCTCTTTGACATGAGCTGGGAAGCTGGCAAAATCTACACGTTAATATTTATCTGCAAATGTTTGAAATAATGCGCAGCCTATGGTAATGGCTGGAGTGTCCCAAAGGGCGTGGAGTGGCCGGTCCTGATCTAAACGAGTCGGAATCCGACCGCACATACAAATTTCTTTGACAGCTTTGATGTGATGACCATATCTTCGGCCGAACTAGAACATATTTCAATATCCTTTTTACTAGCTTGTTGAGGGACCGTGCCATGCCGGTATTATTTGAACTATATTTGCTGGAATAATTATCCAAAGCCAATTCTCAACGTCCAATTGAGCCAGAGACATTAAACAATACACGATGACCTTGATCTGTGTTGGGTTTGTCCGCGAAACCTGCTTTCACTGAAGCCAACTATAAATAAATTTTGTCGGCTTCAAAAGCGCACCTATCCATATTATTGAACAGTGATCAAAGCGCATAGTCTTTTTCGACACACGCATCTGTTTAAAGTGGCTCTTCACACCCGACCCTCCACGCATCGGACGGTTTCGGACGGTATACCGTTGCAACAGGCTTGCTCATAGACATGATGTAGATTGCGGAGCTGCATCAAAAGGCTATCGAACGTCGTTGGCATGTTGGACAGTTTCTGAGGTATGACCAGCCACTTCGAGAGCTTCGCGATGAGTGGTCTTTCATGAAATTATCGATTATAACCCGAATCAGGTCGATAGTACTGAACAAGGTAAAGTCAACTGTCCTGTATCACAGCAAATACTTTTAGGAATCGGTATTTGCGCCGTAATAGTGGCTGCATTTAAGCTTCTAAGCATACACAATCATTACTTTGTTGCCGCTAACTCGGCGTCAAATGTGAAAGCGTCGATGATTTCAACTGACTCTCTTAACGAGCCGTATTTTTAGGTTAGGATATTTGGTGTCAAATACCAGTTCAATTATATATTTTCTGGGCGATAAACGTCGTGATATTCTTTTAGACATATGGTCAACAGTATCCGTGGGATGATTGATGGTACCCGCCCCACTCTTTGCGAGTTTTCTCGATGACGAACTCTACCATGACGGACAAGGATTTGAGCTACCAACCGGGCTATTCAGACGACTATGTTGCATCTGAAGGATAAGCTTCTGCCAAGCTTAATGAGAGCTACTGTCGGTGGTAAAGAAGGAAGATTCTACATTCCCCAGAAATTTCAGGTCACTCAATATCTTTCTCACCAAATCCTGGCTGGCTTCACTGGGCCACACAATGAGCGTGTCGCGCAACTATGCTGGCTTAGAATTATTGCAACATCGCGGCAAGAATGAACTATTTTTTATAGCTTTCACCCCGACTCTTTTACTTTTCCATGTCTTCACCTGCCCTAAAACAGCAGACGCGACACAAAGCCGCGCTTAATCGTCTGCACAGGCTCATGGGTAAAAAGACACTAATACACAGCTGCAACAAAGTGACGCCAGAGCTTCACTCTGATTTGTCAGCCAGTTAATGGTGGTTCATAGCATTGAAGCCACACCGAACGTACGTTTAAAACAATTCCTATATCTGGGTCAAGGACCTGACAGCGGTCAACGCTGTCAAAGTGCTTCACCAAAAGAATCAACATAATTATAGAGCTTTTCACCAGATTCATTGTTGCAAGTTGAATGGATACTGCATCCGCATTTGTCTTCTCTAACGCTTCCGCGTACTGCCGACTATCTTTGTCAGCCGGGCGTTGTGTAGTCGCAAAACATTTCTAATGATATCGGGACTTTTCACGGCTTCACAATGCTTGGGACGTTAATGTCAGAGAACATAAATTTCCCGGCCTTTGTGAAGCCGTGGAAAGCCCCGGTATCATCAGAAACTAGCCACCCTGGACTGTGATCCCATCTCTTTGGATTGTTTCGGGGTTAGGTTCCATCAATCACGACCATTATAGAACATCTCCAGAGGGTCATTTTGTGCCTACAAGAATCTGTAGTATCCCATATAAGGGTTCTTCGGACGATGCTTTCTAGAAGTTCAACCCTTTGTACTTCTCATTTAAAAAGGTGGAGGCACACAGGGCACATATGGTCAATTATAGCGCGAACGTAACATCTGCATGTCACACGACGCTAATAGGCACCATGAAGTTTTATCTGTCTCTTCTCCGCCGCGATAAGATCACGATTAGCGCGTGTATAGAGCTCCCACCTGCCGAACTTCAACTTGCTCTTGCAGCGCGATCGTAGTTCTCCCCTCTAACATAAATGCAATGTATCCAAATATTGGTTACATGAACGCAGAAGGTCTTTGTGCTAATTGTTCCTGCTCCATCGAGATGCCTGTTGTTAACTTCTTTGGAAGAGAGCTATCGATTTCGCAGCGATTTGATTTCTGCTTGCCGACATTGTCTGCTAGTTCTCAATTTACTTGACGGATGAGAAATATTCATGAGCGTACACGCTATACTCACCTCTGCGCGAGCTGCGCACGTCGGCCTTTTTTTCAAGTCAGAAGTACAGCGGGGCTACCGTAGCGCTTTCACTTAGAGGAAGCTTGATTAAGGTCGGCGTCCTTCATTTTATACTTATAACTAGTACAAATGTAGCAATCGCAATCTACTTACTCCGAGAGTAACTACAACATTAACCCACGGCTAATTACCGCTTCCGTTTAATATGTAAACTGTATTTCTCGTTCTTATCTGCGGCAAAGTCGCCTATTTCTAAATTTTTACGTTTTTCTATCAAGATAGTAAGAAACAAATGTATAACTACTGGCTGTTCCAGCCACGTACTGACTCGTTATTTACGTGTTTCCACACCATGTTGTGGTCACACCATCTTGTGTTAACAACACCATTGTGTGATCACTCCATTTTGTGTGACCCGTTACACTCTCCCCATCAAAACTGTGAGCACCTATAGTTCACATTCAACTGTCGCCTCGAACTTGGCTCGCGAGTCTAAGACACTAGAAAATCACCCGGGCCTTTTTCCATTTGTCTGCTCAATGAGTCCTGTGTCGAGCACACGGATGACACCCAGCCTCGCTACTTCCGAGAACGCCCGCAGACAGAGCCCCTTTTCGTCTCCTGCACGCAGTGCAACTCCGGACAGCACGTCTAAAGCTTCAAGGAAAACGCAGCACAAGCTCTCGATAACCGAGAGCCGCACATCGCACCCACCACAGGCAATGGATTATCTCTTCGAGGATTTGGAGGAAGTCGACTACGAGTCGGGTTTTCCTTTACCAGAATGGGAAGAAGAACAGGGTGAGGTGCCCCTGCGGCGTGACGTGATTCCTGCTCAATCCTTGCGGGAACCGTGTCCGTTCCCCGGGGGAAGTGACATCAATACCAATCACCTCGACAAGGCACAGGAGCAGTAGCGGGTGGCTGTCCGCAGGGCAACTCTCATGCGCGCGCATCCACGGTCGGTCCTTGGCCCTCACGTGAAATTCGGCTTCCGCCCGGCAGATCCCGCGACTGAAGCGAAGGATGCGATCACTCGATCGTTGGGTGTCTACGTGGTCAGGCCCCCGGTCACTACACAAGCTGAGTACAACGAACAAAGAGCTCTCCGAGCTCGCTTCTTGGTTCCAGGATACGTACCGCACTCCACTTCGTGCTCAACGAGGAGACGCTCTTGTACTTGCGATGCGGACGATACCTGTAGTGCTCGCCCCTGGCGAAGCAGATGACGGAGAGCTCTTTAAACGATAGGTGCAGCGGCACCGGAGACATTCCTCGCTGTACAACTTACAGTTAAGCCACAGGGAGTGGACGCGCCTGTGGATCTCCATCTTTGAATTGAGTCTGCCAAACTCAAGGTGCGTCGCCGACTTCCTTCGGATTGTCGCCCTGCAACGTATGGGTTGATCGCTCACTCTCTCGCGAGCTGTGTGATTTCTCACACGGGCCAGTCTGCGACCGCAACAGCTCAGGGCCGTAGCTTGAGCTCAGCTCATAGCCCTTCGACTTTCCTGACTATTGCCGTGAGGCGTGGTGCGTACGACGACGCGGAACGTCGTAAACGATCCCATTGACATAAGCGTCCACAACGTCTGGGCAGTCTTGCCAAAGTGGCAGTCCAAACTTTTACGAGTTCTCGAAGTTGGGGCATCCTGCTACTTTACAATTTACCGGGTTTGACCCTGGCGACGACGTCGACCCTCAAGACGTTCCACGTGATAGTTGATACCAACATTCTCGTCGAGAAGAATCGGCAGCGGGTGATGCACCTCGGTCGATCGCCGTCCGGTGGCTCACGATGCTCTGTTAGCGCTGGAGGACAAAATCCGTCGTCATCGGCACTCTGCCGAGCATCTTGCCGAGGTTGCATACCGCTGTGCGGAAGACTTCGAGAGCCTGGAGCACTATGTGCACTGACTGCCTCACGCTGAGCATATCGTGCTCTGTCGGAGCGTCTCTTACCCGTTGAGCAGACGAATGCGTCGCTTCGTGCGAAGGTGGAATGCTTGGCGCCGTTGGAGATGGAGTCCGCTAAACTCCGTGCTCAAAACCAGTTGCTGGTCTAGCTTCTGGTTGGTCAAGCGCCTGTGGGCGCCGCTTCGGTGCCAACGCTTCCGCGTATACTTGTCCCGAATCCCGATACGGCTAAAGCAAGCCCACATAAACACCGGGTGGGTATCCGTTTCGGAAGGTTTAGCCTGCTTGACCAAGACCTTAAAAGATCCGATAATACGTGGACGGAGCTTCGTCTTATAGACAGCAGAAACTGCATGTGTACGAAGGATTTGAGCATTTTTAAAAAACAGGCCTTCGACCTCAACGTTTTCAACATTTCTTCTGCTTCTTCCGTCTGCATATTTATTCTGCATGTCTTGGCTTTCAGCCATCGCATCGCGAACGTGTCGTAAGACACTCAGTCTGGTAGACAGGAAGTCATCGACTCCTTTATGTACAATGAGGGGCTGAAATCAGCTAGCTATTCGTCTCCCACCAAGCCCTGAACCATGGGAAACAGGCGTCAGCGGGACGCGAAGATGAATGATCTCGTTCACACAGAACGGCGTGTAGCCAGTAGACGAATGCACTGCATTGTTCAAAGCGAACTCTACGGGTGGCAGCATGGCGCTCCAGCGCCTCAAAGTCACAGCGCACACGCTGCGTCGGACGTCCTCAACTACGCGCTCAGTTTGGCCATCGGTCTATGGATAGTCCGCCGTTGCGACATCCATGAGAAGTTTCGTCTACAATCTTCAAAGTGCTTGGTGCCTAGCACTTTAAAGATTGTAGACGAAAACTTCTCAGCGAAGCGTGGGTCCGTGTCAGCGACAATTGACTCCTGGAGTCCAAGTAGTCGAAAGGCAAGATCGAAAATCAGCGTCGATGGTGCCCGGCACTGCCGCATTATGAACCATCTTGCCCAAACGGTCTACAAAGACCACCAAGCCCGTGTTACCCGCCGAGTCCTTCGGCAGGCCAAACACAATGTCCATACGCATGTACTGCTAACATCCGGAGGGTATGGGCAAACTGACCAGCGACGCCGACACATTCAGAGAGGGTCTTATCCTTTGACACATCCCACACGTGCACACATATATGCTCGTCCATTTGTACAACTTGGGACATCAGTAGTGGCAACTCACAGCGCTGTACAGCTTCTTACGACCGAGATTACCATGTCGTAGGCCTCATAGAATAAACGGTACTTCTAATCCACATCGTGGGAGCCACAATTTGTGGCGTATCCGTCTAATCGGTGCTATAATACAGTAATCCATTATTCAAGGAATATCAATGCAACCGCGCACGCAGTCCTGACAACAACTTTTTGTCCGAGTTTCCAAACTCCTTTCTCCCGATAGCCTGTACCAGCGCTACGCACATATCATCACCCTCGTACGCGGCGCGAATCAAATCCGCCATGAACGACTTCACCGTCGTAACAGGAGCAAGCTCATAATCTGGTCTGCGTGAAAACGCATCAGCCAATAATTTCTGCTTTCCTGGCATATACTTCACCGCAAAGTAATATTCTGTGAAAAAGGTGAGCTACTTGGCAATCCTCTGCGGGAGATGAGGCGACTGAGTCGCAGTACGTAGTGACGCATGATCTGTGTAGATCATAAAGGGTTGGAGCCGTGCAGGTGCATCCTGAATTTGACAAATGAATTTTTCATCGCAAGTAATGCCTTGTCGTGAACTGGGTAGTTCTTCTCTGCAGCGATGAGCTGGCGAGATTCGAGCGCGATCACCCGAACTCGGAGTGCACAGCCGATGACATTGTCCGAAGCGTCACAGACGACACTGAAAGGTCGATCAGGGTCTGGTTAACGCCGTCATTAGTGTATTAAGGGGGTGTATTTGACCCCGTCAAAACCTTAACGATACTCGGTGTCCCAACACGATTCTTTATCCTTGTTAAGGCGATCAGCGATGGCTGTGTCATTTCTGTGTAGTTCTTGTGGTATTTGTGCAAGTAGTTGGCGAGACCAAGCCAATTGCGCAAGTCATTTTGATTCTTTGGAACCCGCCAGTTCACAATCGTCTTGAATTTAACGAAATTCGCTCGAAACCACGCTTCCCAATGATGCACTCTAAAAAGGGAATTTCTTCCACACCGAAGATGCATTATCGGCATTAGCATACGGCTTTTTCGTGCGCATGCACTCGAGCACCGCCCTCGAATGAACGATGTAATTGACCTCATCTGTCCTTCCGTATCCCGCACGACTGTGGACGAAGATGTAGTCAAAGTATGGTTGCGCTTACGTCCGGTGGGGCCTAAAAATTGCGTCACAAGACGTTGCTGATGCATCCGACAGTCCTCGAGACATCATCAGCCACTCTCAGAGCATCCTGCTCGGAATCCTCACCGCTTTCAGCAGAATATTACTTACTCGCATGGGCAATTGGCAATACCCATTGACCAAGGCGAGTGTGCTGTTCTTTATACAGCCAACTATATTGTTCTGGATAACATCCTTTTAAGAATTGGCGTCTGTGCCGGAAGGTGGCAGCATTTAGCTAATTGTAAACGATTTGCTACTTGCCGTTTGATTTTCGGACACAAAACATGGAGAGACTTGCTCTCACGCACCATTCCTACCTCGTGCATCGCACGGAAGAAGGCGTAAATGATGTCGCACTGCTTCTTGGGCAGTGGCCATTGGCGTGTTATGCAGTATTTGGCTTCAGGATCTCATAATGCACACCTTGGTCCAAAAGTAGGACCGATGGTGGTCTTTACAGACGACGTCTTGAAATATCTGTACCAAAGGATAGTTTGATTCGTCAGGATTGGGGATCCACTTTGTGCGTTCAGCACTCTCTTGGTGTCCTCCAGGACAGCTTCATCCAGAAGCGACGACGAGTTTATATCCTCATTTGGCTGCATAATGACCACTTCGACTAAAACGCCTGCCTTCAAGGCACCGCCAGACTCTTCGAAGAACATCTCGTCTAGCTCAGAAGAACATCCATCGGAGGACCAGCCTCGATGGTGACGTCGCCGTCTATCTCCCCCGTCATACCGTTAACGAGGGTGTATAGCTGTGCGCTATCATCTATGGTAGACTCATCCTGGTTGGGTCAGGGGCGGCGCCCGGCGGCTTGCAACTAGCATGCGGCGTCGCCGTCGCATTTCCACAGAGATTTTACGTCTTGGCGAGACCATTGTGATCGCGCACTCAGAGTCGCCCACTGTCCCCACTCCCTGCTCCACCGGAGATCTGATGTTATTAACAACATAAACGAAGAGCTGCTAGTTCCGCTGTCTTTGACGATGAATAACGTGTCTTCAGCGCGCATTTGAAGGGCCTTGCACAAGATTCCTCGGACCTCGTCCGACCATGCCACTCTTGGCATGCTGCAACTACCTTGATACTTGAAGAGTGCTCAGTGGGTTACGCCACTCCACGTTAATCACTGGGGCCTCGCCCTCGATACCTAGGCCCTTAAGCGACCATGCCACGCATGGCATGCTGTGACTGCTCCGATACGTGAGCAGCGCTCAGTGGATTACGTGCCACTCCACGTTCAGCCCGTGATCCATACTCGGGACTCCTGTCCGATACACCTTTGGTGTTTACCAACCCGGATACTCCGATCTCCAGCATGTTGACCGTCTCGGTTCAGTGCCCGTGCCAATATCGTTTTTGCCACCTCGCAGAGGTGGTTAATGACTCATCAAAGCTCCGCCAAGATACGCGCGTGCAGCGCCAAGATCTTCGCGCTCCAGTCGATCTATGGTTCATGGTGTTCCAGTCATGCCATTCCAAGAGTAAGGTCATATCTTGGATCCAAGTCTAGGACAAAGCAGCGTTTCACGCTATCAAAGTCAAGAAACTTGACATTGAGGTCCGCAGGGACCTTCGGCACCGTGACACATGTCCCTGTCTCTAAGCGAACAGTGATGGTGTCACTTAACCACACTTTCAGCACTTCAGCATACAGCTGGCTTCTTTCGATCGTGGAGCGTCGAGCATGATTGCCCAAGCCCCCGAGTCGATCAGGATCTTCCATGGCTTCTCAAAGCCCTTCACGTCGCTTCCGCGACCAGCAAGCCCGGCTTGCAACCACGTTTCGTGTTCAAGAGCACGGAGCTCTTCGGGTCCGGGTCCCGCTCCTCCCTATATCTTCGAGGCTTAACAGAACTCAGTTTCTCCAGTAGGCCGCGCCGCGCCAATTAAGTGTTGTCATTCTCCCGTGACAAAGCAGAAGACTGGTAGGAAGCGGGACGTCGGTTCGATGAACCTTTATGCGCCATGCGCAGGGGAATACCAATCCGAAGATGACAGGTGTCTCCACAAACAAAACAACGTTGTGAGTTCAAACGCTGCTCGGCAGCTTAGAGCTCTACCTACTCTTTCTCAGCATATCTGAGATCCATTGGCTCAGACCAGCTCGACGAGCTATTAGGGTGTTTATCTCAACCAAGTCGTGCCAGCTGAAAGTTGAATTCGATATTCAATGCCACATATACCGCTTCATCCAAAAAAGAAGTGTGCTTACGGAAGACATCCATTCTGGCAACGCCAGTGTGGAGGCCCTCTATAAAGACGGTCTCTGTGACGCCTCGAGGATAATATCGGCTGCTGTACCGGCGAAGAGAGTACGCAACTCCTGGACAAAGTCCACCAATTTCTCATGCCCAATCGGGCGACAAGGAAACGCGATCGCACGCGATATGCTGGTTAGGCGGCGAGAATACTCGTAAAAGCTGCACCTTCAGCTCGTCCAGAAGGGAAACGCCGCTTCGACCGAAGTGTCGCACTTCAGTACCCTTTTCGCGCTCGATCACCGAGTCTTGAAGATAGGTGCGCCACGCGCTGTTGTTCGGCCTGGAGCATGGCGGACGCCATAGCCATCTCGGCTTCTCTCACAGAGAGCAGGAAATCCCTCCATCTTTGCCCTCATAGGTCTTATCAGTCGGGAAGAGTCATTTGTCGCCGATGGTGGCGTCAGGGATGCAGTCGACGCCGACATTTTCTGCTGTAAGTGCTATAGTAGAGCATTGTCATAGCTTGAAAACCCTTCAGGCGCGCGCTTGTCGCATCAGGCCTTTGCGAAGCGAGGTGTTGCACGCCCTCAGGGCCAAGAAGAAACATCACCATTTTAATTTCGTCTTGCATGCCCTTGGGCAAATAGGAGAACTGCTCCATCCTCACAGAGGGGTGGACGGAACGACTCAGGTGCAGATTGATTACAGGTGCTACAAAGTGCAGCGGGGCTGCCGTAGCTCTTTTGCTTAGAGAAAGCATGGTTAAGGTCGGTGACCTTTGTTTCAATACCTAGAACCAGTACGAGCGTAGCGGATCGCATTCTGCTAACTCCAAGAGTAACTACAGCATTAAGTCAAGGCTAATGAACTCTTACGTTTAATACGTAAACTGCATTTCTCAGTTTTTCTGCGGCAAACCGCCTATATCAAAATTTCTAGGCTTTTCTACCTATATAGAAATTGTATAACCTCGTTCTATTTTAGCTACGTACTGACTTGATGTTTACGTGTTGCCACACCACCGTGTGCTCACACCATTTCGAGAAGGGGCCAGGGTAGCTTATTATGGAGCTTAAATGACCAGTATCAATAAATTAAAGTGCGTAAAACTGTCGCATTTGCAAGCACACAGAAATCGAGTAAAGGCTTTCGAAATCGTGTGCAGCGAAGACGTCGATACTTTTATGAGGACTTCCTCGAGCATCAATATTGCACAAACCCAGTTATATATTTTTTAGGATCGATTAGGCTGCACCGCAGTATGATGCTGTATTGCGATAAACACATTAGTGCAGTGATGCCAGAGATGTGGGGACCTGGTCAATGGATTGGCGACCCCCCATAGCGCTGTTCCCCAAAGTAAACGGTTTTGTGTGGTAAATTTTACTCTTGATAGAGCTTGCGATGGTATTACCAGTGCTCATTATTTGCGAAGGATGTGGAAGGACGCTGACGGATGCCTCGGTCACTTCGACCCTCACTTGATGCTAAACTGATATAGACCTTGACAGCAGGGTTAACCAGATATGGACAACGCTGCTCAGAACCCTGAAGCTTGATGAATATTAATCCTTTTCCTTACATTTTCATAAAGGAGTGGTGCAGTGGGCGACGAGGTATTTCATACATCTATCCATTGTTTTTAGATGAGGTTGATAAGGGTTTGGGAAGCAAGCAACTCACAAATAAGAACAGTCTATTACACAAGCTGGGGCTAAACATAATCATTCCAATCGGAACTCAGAATGTGCAGCTAGACATAATTTTGTATATGCATGTTCTCGTGCACAGATCACACACAAGATACACACTAGAGCTACCGGATAAGGAAGGCGAGTAAGTATATAAATGAATATCACTCCACAATTGGCGATTTGGAGTGGCATCTATATATATAATTGTGACACCTCCAACCTACTGAATCTCGAATTTACATTTTCAGAGTTGGAGTTACGTACTTGGTGCTCTTGTGACCTGGCACTAGGCGGCAATTCAAGAGTGATATTTGTCTAGCGTTAGAATCCTGGTTCAGAGAACTTACATCCAGTTCTAATGCTACGTGTAAGTAATATGCATTTGTTCCTATCCAATGAGTGTATTCTGGAACGTCTCAGACTGTTTACTGTCCTTCTTGATTTAGGTAATCTTCTTTCTCTCGAATATTCTAGAACTTCCTTGGATAACTGGTACTCGTTAACCAACGCACAGGTTATTAGTTACATTCTCCCGCCTTATTTGTTGAGTCCTTGCCTCCAAGTCCTTCAGCATCGACTTTCAATGTGACATTTGGCAAAAGTTGTCTTGTCCTCTGGATGGCCTGCCCATTTCATTAGAAATTGCCGTCTTCCTTTGACTGTCTTCATCTTCCGTAGGGCTTCGATGACGTACGTTGTTTAGTTTTCCTGCACCACAACAGGTGTGCTCTTTTGCTGCGGTCTTTCTTCGAATGTGCTTGGATTGTCTGGACACTACTCCAGTTGTTCCACGTTGAACACTCCGTTCATGAATTGCATGGATTCTGGCAACTCCAATCGGTACACGAGGTCCGACAGCCTCTTGAGAATCTTGAACGGTCCGATGTATCTGTCTACAAGTTTCTTGCAGCTGTTGTCTTGTTCTCGCACAGCGTGATGAATTGTGATGTTCTTCGAGTTCAGCAGTCCCCATTCTCCAATATCTAAACTCTCGTCGCGTCGCTTGCGATCGTAGTATCGTTTCTGCTGCTCCTGAGCTGCTTGGAGCGATCGCTGCGCCAATTGGATGACGTCTTGCCTCCTTGTTTTGAATCTGATTGCCAGCTCGTTTGCACTCTCCGAGATGCCCATCGGATTTTGTGGTGTTTGTTACGCATCCACTTCGAATAGACTGAACTCGGAGTATTACGATGTCAGAGTTGCGTGCGCATACTCTATGGTTGCCAGCCACTCCTTCCAATCGTCGCCGTGATACAACACACGAGACAATGCAGGGAGTCTTTCAGCGTTCGATTCTGTCTCTCCATTTGTCCGTCGGCTTACGCTCGTCAGCCACTGTCATCGATTGTTTGACGCCCATTCTGTCCATAAGTCCTCTCCACAACGTTGACACGAACGCTGGTTCTCTATCCGACATAATCTGCTTTGGCAGTCCAAAGTATATCACCACATGATTGATGAACTATTGGTTGTTTTGTGAGCTGTCACTGTCTGCTTCGTTGGAATGTAAACAGCTCTTTTGGATAGTCTGCAAACCACTGAGTCGCATCCCTCGGACTCTGGCAGTCCGGTGATGAAGTCCATGCTGACCGAATCCCAACACTCTTATGGAATCGCGATCGGTTGGATCATTCCTTGCTTCTTCTGGATCGAGGTCTTGTACCGCATGCACGTCTTGCACGTTCGCACATACGTCTTGATGTCTTCAAGCATGCTATTCCTCCAGAACCACATCTTGACAGCGTTGGCGGTTCGCTCGATGCATGGGTGCGCTACTGTTCGTGCGTCCTGATGGTTGTTCAGTATTGCCAGCTTCAGCTCTCGACTTTCGGGCACACACCGCTGCTCCACCTGGTTCTCAGACATGCAAAAAATCAGTCCATCTTCCACTGTGAAGTTGGTCGGGTCTCCTCTGCCTTCCATTATCTTGGTATAGAACTTTTTCTCCTTGTATGCTCGCTCAAAACTATTTCTCGTGCTCTTCTCCAACTCTGCGTGAAGGTTGTTTGCCTCGAGCACCATTCTCTTCTCTCCTTTGTTTTTTCATACCCTTCATACTTTGGGAGTCTCTGCATTCCATATAAGCTCATGTCTCTTCTCGACACCGAGTAGAGTGTGTCTTTGAACTTCTCCACCTATAAGTAAGCCAAATTGATTTCTTGTATTGACAAGGCATCTGCGACTACATTCTCCTTGCCAGGTTAATGAATCAGCTTAAAGTCGTACTCTGGAAAGAAGTCAAGCCATCTCGCCAGTCTTCCTGACACTTGCGGTCCACTTGCACGCTAAAATGTCCGTGATTCCGTGCAGATACGGTCTCTATTTTGCAATTCACAACTTGATGGCGTACAGCTCTTGGTCATGCGCTGGCTATCTCCGTTCTGTGTCGCTTAGCTTCTTGCTGTAGAACGCAATCGGTAGATCTTTTCCATCAAACTCTTGCAAAAGCACTCATTCCACGTTACTTCCAGACGCATCCGTCGAAACCATAAACGTTTTTTTCTATCTGGGAGTCGCAGCGCTGGTGCTTGTTGCAGCGCAAGCTTGATCTTGTGAAACGCATGTTGATGGTGATCACTCCATCCCCATTCCTTGCTCGACTTGAGTAACTCACTGATAGGCAACACAATATCTGCGAAGGACGGGATGAACCGTCGATAATAGCCCGCGAGTCCCAAGAACCTCTACAAATCCTTTGTACTCGTCGGTGCCGGCCACGCTTGGATTGCCTGCACCTTCTTCGGATCCATGTGGACTTCTTTGCTGTCGATGATGTGACCCAGGAAATTGGTCTCGCTCTGTCCGAACTGACACTTTTCGTGATTCGCATACAGCTCGTTCTCTCGCAGCAACCCGAACACTGCTCTCAAATGCTCGCGATGCAGCTCCCTTGTCCGACTGAACACGCGTATGTCATAGAGGTACACGACAACGAATGTAAATGAGAAAAGATACGTCTCATCAGCCAGCTCCATGTGCCTGGCATTCCAGAAAGTCGCATGGGTGTCACGCATCAGTGTACGTTCTCGAGCTCTCGGCGATCCGCATCTGATGGCATCCCTTTTGCAAATCGAATGTCTAAAACGTCAAAAATCCCTGCATCTGGTCAAACAGCTAGTTGATCATCGGTAGCGGAATCTTTGGTATCTCGCTCGCATCGTTATCGAAAGTAGCGGACCCATCAAATCGGGGCATTCGGGTCTCCTGATCGCAGCCAATCTGCTCGCGAAGAAAAATTGTTTGTCGCGGCAATCTTTTTGGGCACGCCAAATATGCTAGATACCTACGGTGACTCGGACAACTCGATCCACTTCTTCTTCAGCAGACTGTCCAAGAACTTTTGCAGTGCCTGGCGCTCGACGTGCAACAGTCAAAACGGTTGTCGATTGCCCAGCTATGCTCCCGGCTTCAGCTTGATCTCGATCTCCACTTTCCTCTTTGGCGGTAATCTGTCTGGTAAATGCTCTGGAAAGACATCCTGAAATTCCTCCAGCAGCTCCTTGATCTCTGGCATCGCTTCGTTTTCTTTTCCTTTCTCTTCCGTATCGTTTTCCATTCGGACTTTAACATGGAAAACCTCAGCATACTTTGGTTGTCTCAGCTTTTGTCGGAGCTCGTCTCCTTTCACCTCTTGGCACTCCGGTGACTCTGCAAATGTCACTTGGTGTGTCCTCCAGTCGATTGCAGGGAACAAGACATCGTGTGTGATGAGAGTTCCCACTCTAGCATCGGTTCGCTATGGAGAATCTGGCCGTCCACCTCTAGAGTTAGTCGAACCAACTGGACAATTTTTGTCTCCGTTTCTGTGCCATCAAATCGCTTGGCAGTGGCCGAAATCGTTTTTTCGATCTTGAAGCTCAGTCCTGGACGAATGAGATTCGAAGTGGCTCCGGAGTCGATCAATATCCTGACTCGCTTTCCGTCACGTAAACCCTTTCTTACAATCGGCTCATCGGCACTCATTCTCGTCAACACCACTTCTGACTAATTGATCCGCATGCTGGCTGCTTGTGTCTTGCTCAGCTGAAAGGAATCGGTTTTTCCATTGTATTAGCTCATTTCCACGTGATGCGCTTTCACCACATTCCTTCTGTTCTGCATTCCTCTGCTGCTCCTTCCATTGTTCTTGCTGTGATCTTTTCCATTATCTCTTTCATGATCTCTTCTCGTGTTCTGATAACAATTTCGCGATTTGTGACCAGGTTTCTTGAATGTGAAACACAGATTTTGCTCGTCGCACTACTGCTTTTCGAATATCGCATTACAAATCTCCATGTCTTGACTGCTATCGTCGTTTAATGCACCAAAATGAATCCGATACACTCTCGGAGGCTTCTTGTGTCTCTCTCGATCTTCTTGTTGTGGGAAGTAGACATCTTCGTACGCCTTCGCAGCGGCTATGGTCTCTTCCAGATTAGCGCACCTAGTGAACTGCACCATCTTCCGAGTCTGGTCCTTCTAAACCGAAATAAACACATTTTGTCGATCCAACTTCCTTATTTTTTGGATCTGCGCTATGATCGTCGGATACTTCACAACGTACTTGTCGAAGTTCATCCGATGCGCGTCCTTTGCCAACTGTCGCAACTGCCCTCGCAGGATATTCTGGTATCCTCTTGGCACAAACTGAGCATACAATACTGCTTCGATTTCCTCGAGACTCTTCGCCTCTCTTCCGCTCGCACACATATCATGGTACCAAGCCGATGCGCTTTCTCTCAAGTTGCCCACGACCATCGCCACGATCCTTTGTTGGTATCTTCCGCGTACTCGTCGATCAGCTTTGCACGTAGATAGTTCTTCACTTGGATCAGGAACGCGTGCACTCCTTCCATCGGTCTTTATGAAAACTGTGGCATGGACAATCCTTCCGCTCTGCCATCCCCTGAAACAATCACCTGGGGTGCTCTTCTTTTCTCCTGTGCAGCGCTCTCCTTGTGGACGACTTCACTCTCTACGCGTCGAATGTCTTCATTCATTTGCCTCAACATCACGCTCGTTTGATGTTCCCTGAGCTCTTCTGGGCTCGCATGCGCTCTTATAATCGCGTCTTGCATGCCTCCCATCTGCCACGTCATGTCTTCTCGCTACTTCTCCATCGCTCTCTCCATCGACACTTGCTGTTGACTCAGCGCCTGCTGCCAGCTTGTCGCCCTTTGCTCCATAGCGTTCGCCATGCATCTCATCAGGTCCTCCGCACTCATTACGTTTGATCACTGGAAACTCGGTTGTTCTCTCTCTCGCTTGAGATACAGCCAGCACACCTAGGTGTTCAGAACCGAAGGATCTACAAGCAATTCCCCCTCAGCTACTGACCACTTTCTCAAGTGTCTTGCTTGTGTGCTGATGCAGTCTTGGTCTGTAGTCTTGAGTCGGGAGTCTTGAATCAGACGCCGCTTGGTTGGAACGTGGACTGGGATAATGTTGTCAACCAACAAGTGCTACTAAATATGACCTTAGCACTAGGCGGCAAGTTCAAGAGTGATCTTCGTTTAGCGTTAGAATCCTGGATCAGAGTACTTTCTAATGCTACGTGTACGTAATATGCAATACTATTGGCTAACATGCATTAATTCCTATCCAATGAGTGTGTTCTGGAATTCCTCGGACTGTTTACTGTCCTTCTTGGTTTCGGTAATCTTCTTGCACTCGAATATTCTCGAACCTCCTTGGACAACTGGTACTCGTTAACCAGCGCACGGTTAATTGGTTACAGCTCAGGTCACTAAGGCTCCCTACCCCCTCACCACTTTTAGTACTTGGTCAGTTTTTATAGTTGCTGTGTAACGAGGTTACACGTACCCTGGG